ACTATATTACATCGACACCACACTCCCACACTCCCACTTTTAGTATCTGTCTTCACTATACTTTCCTCTATTTATATCCTCTACAATCTTAATTCAAAACAAAATTCTTTTTTGAAAAATAAAAATATCAACCATCACTTTATATCCATCTATAAACTTATCAACTTATCTATATTATATCTATACCTTTTTAATAATCCACACTTCCAATTTACTAATAACTCAACTCATCACTCTATTAAATACAAATACCACTACTATCCAACACTCTCATTATCTAACTCTTTTACTACTCATCTTTTTTTACTCTCTATTCCTCTGTTCGAATCTTCTCCCATGCCTTTTCTCTTTTATTTCTTTACTACCCATCTCTATCTTCTCGTCTTCCACCGTTCGAATCCTTTCTGATGCCTTTTTTCTACTACTATATCTCTCCCTTTTCTAATTTACACTCTTTCCCTGTTCGAACCCTCTCTGCTGCTTTTTCTCTTTTATTTCTTTACTACCCATCTCTATCTTCTCCTCTTCCACCGTTCGAATCCTCTCCGATGCCTTTTTTCTACTACTATATTTCTCCCATCATCACTTCTATCTCCCACTCTTTTCCCCTGTTCGAATCTTCTCCCATGCCTTTTTTCTACTACTATATTTCTCCCATCTCTATCTTTTACTCTTCCACTGTTCGAATCCTCATCGCCGCTTTTTTTCTCTTTTATTTCTTTACTACCCATCTCTATCTTCTCCTCTTCCACCGTTCGAATCCTTTCTGATGCCTTTTTTCTACTACTATATTTCTCCCATCATCACTTCTATCTCCCACTCTTTTCCCCTGTTCGAATCCTCTCCGATGCCTTTTTTCTACTACTATATTTCTCCCTTCTCTATCTTCTACTCTTCCACTCTTTTCCACCGTTCGAATCCTTTCTGATGCCTTTTTTCTACTACTATATTTCTCCCATCATCACTTCTATCTCCCACTCTTTTCCCCTGTTCGAATCTTCTCCCATGCCTTTTTTCTACTACTATATTTCTCCCATCTCTATCTTTTACTCTTCCACTGTTCGAATCCTCATCGCCGCTTTTTTTCTCTTTTATTTCTTTACTACCCATCTCTATCTTCTCCTCTTCCACCGTTCGAATCCTTTCTGATGCCTTTTTTCTACTACTATATTTCTCCCATCATCACTTCTATCTCCCACTCTTTTCCCCTGTTCGAACCCTCTCCGATGCCTTTTTTCTACTACTATATCTCTCCCTTTTCTAATTTACACTTTTCCCCTGTTCGAACCCTCTCAGCTGCCTTTTCTCTCTCATTATCTCACTCCTCTATCATCACTTCTATCTCCCACTCTTTTCCCCTGTTCGAATCCTCTCCCATGCCTTTTCTCTCTCATTATCTCACTCCTCTATCATCACTTCTATCTCCCACTCTTTTCCCCTGTTCGAATCCTCTCCCATGCCTTTTTTCTACTACTATATTTCTCCCTTTTCTAATTTACACTTTTCCCCTGTTCGAACCCTCTCAGCTGCCTTTTCTCTTTTATCTGTTTACTACCCATCTCTATCTTCTCCTCTTCCTCTGTTCGAATCCTCTCAGCTGCCTTTTTTCTACTACTGTATTTCTCCCATCATCACTTTCATTACTATTCTCTTTTCTCCTGTTCGAACCCTCTCAGCTGCCTTTTCTCTTTTATTTCTTTATCACTCATCAATACCTTCTACTCTTCCACCGTTCGAATCCTCTCTCATGCCTTTTCTCTATTACTATGTCTCTTCTATCTATCCTCTCTCATGCCTTTTCTCTATTATTATTTCTCTTCCACTGTTCGAACCCTCTCTCATGTCTTTTTTCTATTACTATATTTCTCCCACTATCTCACTACTCATCAACTTCTTCTACTTCTTTTCATTACTCCCTTCTCTTACTCTCCTCTATTCCTCTTTTCTATTCTCTTTATCCTAATATCTTCTTTTCTCTATCTCTCCAAAACTAAAATATCACTAACCTATCTTCTACTACTCACCACCACCCTCTCCAACTCTCTCTACTTCTTCTCTCATCCATACTCTCCCCTCCCCTTTTATACATTTTATACCAACTTTCCCATTTTCACCACCACTAATCTCTCCCTTTCCCCACAACACTATAATTATCCAACCCTTACCATATCTAAAATCTCCTTATTCTTACAACATACACACTCACTCTATGACCTTTCTTTATCAAACACTCTTTTATTATCTTGTTAATAATAATCAAAACACAATTATATTTTTCAACAAGACACTCAAATTCTGTTCATGTATAAACATGTTAACTTATCTGTATTATTTCTATACCTTTCTAATAATCCACACCTCCAATTTACATCTCTCTATTTAACACAAACACCACTACTCTCCATCTTCTCATCATCTCCCCATACCCCTTACTACTCTTTCATCTGTTTATTTCTTACTTTCCCTCTTATATCACTTATCTATGTTCTAACACCCAGACACCCTCCTTACCTCACCACTTATTACCCTGTACTATTCTACCCTTTTTCTTCAAACTACCCATTATAATATAAATATTAACATTCTCTGTCATCACATTATCTATATATCCATACATCACTCCCTCTCTACACCTATTTTCACCTTAATCTACTCCACTTGTTTACTACTCTCTGTTCTAACACCCAGACACCCTCCTTACCTCACCACTTTTCACCCTGTACTAATATACCATTTTTTCTTCAAACTATCCATCATAATATAAATATTCATATTCTCTGTCATCACATTATCTATATATCCATACATCACTCCCTCTCTACACCAATTTTCACCTTAATCTACTTCACTTGTTTACTTCCCTATATTCTAACACCCAGACACCCTCCTTACCTCACCACTTTTTACCGTGTACCAATCAACTCTTTTTCTCCAAACTACCCATCATAATATAAATATTAACATTCTCTATCACCCTATTATCTATATATCCATACATCACTCCCTCTCTACACCTATTTTCACTCTAATCTACTCCACTTGTTTACTTCCCTATATTCTAACACCCAGACACCCTCCTTACCTCACCACTTTTCACCCTGCACCAATCTACCTTTTCCCAAGAGATATCCCATTATAATATAAATATTAACATTCTCTGTCATCACATTATCTATATTTCTATTTATCCTTCCATCTCCTCTTTATTTTCAGCTTAATCTACTCTACTTGTTTACTACTCTATGTTCTAACACCCATACACCCTCCTTACCTCACCACTTTTCACCCTGTACCATTCTACCTTTTCCCAAGAGATATCGCATTATAATATAAATATTAACATTCTCTGTCATCACATTATCTATATTTCCATACATCACTCCCTCTCTACACCTATTTTCACCCGAATCTACTCTACTTGTTTACTACTCTATGTTCTAACACCCAGACACCCTCCTTACCTCACCACTTTTCACCCTGCACCAATCTACCTTTTCCCAAGAGATATCCCATTATAATATAAATATTAACATTCTCTGTCATCACATTATCTATATTTCTATTTATCCTTCCATCTCCTCTTTATTTTCAGCTTAATCTACTCTACTTGTTTACTACTCTATGTTCTAACACCCATACACCCTCCTTACCTCACCACTTATTACCGTGTACCATTCTACCTTTTCCTAAGAGATATTCCATTATAATATGTATATTTACCTTCTCTTTCACCATATTATCTATATTTCCATACATTCCCCCATCTCCTCTACTACTTCTCTACCCTCATTTACCTCCTCTCACAATACCTATACTCACCCCTACTCTTCTACTCTCACACATCTTCTTCTCTTTCAATATATTGTAGTATTTGCCTTTCTCTGCCTTTTTTATGTTTGTTTCCCACTCTTGTAATCTCACACATTTCATTTTAACGTTCTTGTCACTTTTCTTAATCTTCACTGTTTTCAAGAAAATTATAAATTTACTTGTTAGGAAGATTTATACAAAAACCCTAGAAAATATATTTGGGAGATAATCTCATACAACAGCATCAATGTTCAATATCGTCGTAGCCCTGCATCTCATTTAAGAGGAAGCTATTCTTTTCTTGTGGCTCTTTGGGTTTTACCATATCTTTTATTACGTTCTTTTATATAGAGAAGTAAGCTGATAATATGCTTTTAAGGGGTATAACTGATAAATACATATCTTTAATACTTTCTAAGAGTATATACCGCATCACTACATTTTGGCCCCTACGCACCTTTCTTCCCCCACTATCCGTTTGTTCCATTATTCGAAATATCCTTGTCCCCTATACATAGATGTCCATGTTATCTATATTGGAGACACCACCACCTCACTACATCAGCCAATATTTTTTGTCTTGTAAAAAATAATTTAGGATTAGATCATTCATATCTGGACTTATAGTATGTATAATTATCATACACAGAAGAAGTATTAGTATACTATTATTATTGATTTAACAGACCCACTCTATCACAATGTCTAACCCACCACCGATATGAATAATCTATCCATTTCTTCAAATAGTTTTTATATCTTGCCTTATTGCATGCTGTAACTGAGCTCACCAGAAATAAAATAAAATTGAAAACGCCTGAAACATCAACTGTCCAATGTTCCAGTAATGTTTTAAGAAAATTAGAACCAAAATAAATCATTATATTTCACAAGGGTGTAACATGACACTAGAAGAAAGAGAAGGGTAAAATATGTGTAACAATTGACAACAGATGATCAATATTTTTAAGACTCTCCTGGTGCATTTCAGATATATATACATTAAAGGTCACTTGGATCATGTGGAATCTTTAGAGGCAAGACAAAATACATTTGAAAGTTAGAAGTATGGCCTTAAAAAGTCCATAGAACTGGAATAATTCATTGGAACAATTTACGAATTCTATTGGTCTGCATGACTTTATTTATTCTCCTGGTTTGTTTGTGTTCGAAGACAAATCAATTATGAGAGCTGTGTATGTTGCTGATATTTTAGATCAACATAGACTATTCTCTAAAACAAGTTTGCTTTAAAAGAATTGGGTTTTATGAAACACGATATACTAGAAACGGGTCTCTCAGGTTTAGATTTAAATTATAACAGAGAAAACGGAACCATACAGTTGCATATTACAAGATATATTGAAAAATGTTTGAAGAATATAAAGAGATTGTATCTAAATAGAAAAAAACTAATAGCGTACCTAACCTTCATAAGTATGCTATATATCCCAAAACACATAAATTGGTCATGGAGAAATCTACATTAAAAGAAAAAATAAAATGGCTTCAAGTATTGATTGGAAAACTTAATTATATTAGAACAAGAGGAAGATTAGATATAGAATTTGCTTTAGGCAAGCTGTTACGTCTAGTATTGTTCCCTCATCCTAAAGTAATTAAAGCAGTCAAAAAATTATTGAAGTATGTTTATAAAAGAGACGAGGAAAATAAATTGGACATCACAGTGGTTGCAGATGTATCATTGGGATCTGAGTTTGACGTGGTGGTATCATATGAATTGGAAAAAATTTTTATGATGGTTTTCCAAAAAATCCACTATAGTTTGTAGGTCATCAGCAGAAGCTGAACTGGATGCTCCAACCATGGGGGAAGATCAAGCTGTTTTATTAAAATGTAAAATAAAAGGAATCTTTAAAATATAAATACAAACATTAATATAATAACAAATTCTACACCAGCCATTGATTGACTCAAACAGGACTACTTTAAAACACGAACAAAATTCATAGGACTCAGACTGGAAAAATCAAAAGAAGAAACACAAGATAGGTCTATTGATACATTTAAAATAAAAAGGGAAAATAATATAGCAGACCCTTTTACTAAAGAGACTACGTGGGGAAACTTCTCTAGAATAATTAACATTTTAAAGGGTGATATCAAGCCAGAGGATGTGTTTTGTATGACTGAATAAGGAAAGTAGCATTACTTTGAGTGAAACTGGGTTCAGTCATGAAAGCTTATGAAACACTCTTTACGGGGTATGAGAACATAGAGAGTATGTCTATCAGGTTTCCTTATTAAAGACTCTTTTAGTATCTTGTTAATAATATTCACAAGAGAAATATATTTTTCAAGAAGAGAGATCATTTTATATTTGTATATATCATATTATATAATTACGTATATTATTTTCATAGGTGTTTAATAAACCACACATCCAATCTACTAACAACTTAAGTCATCACACTATTAACTACAAATGCCACTACTTTCCAACATTTCTCATCCCATTTTCTATATTTATCACTTCAACCTTAATTTACTTTCTTCTTAACATCCACTTAATTCTTATTCTTTATATCCTGCTCTCGCTTATTTTATATATCTCAAACTGCTGTAATTATTACCATCAACATTGTATATTAAACAACTTTTTTGTTAATTAAGCAGTTATTATGGCAATAATGTTATATGTGGTGTATCGATGCATAAAAGAGCAAGATGTAAGAAGATACATTGGTTACTTGCATATAACACATATGTACAAAGAGAAGACTAAACCAACTTATAAACAAAATATCTAATCTGTTCATCCATTATGGTCACAATCATCCACTACAAACATTCCCTTTACTTCCATATCAGCTATGTATCCTTAGAGTAGAATGTCTTTTACACAGCAACCATCAATCTTTTTCATCCATCCTGATCTACATTGTCCACTTAATTTCAAATTATCTGCCTACTATCCTAATACTCTCCCTTCTCTTCCTTTCCCATCCTGTTTTTACAACTCTAACACCACTCGCCCCATTCTAATCCACATATCCTTGTCCTCTCTCTACCACTGACTTACTTCTACTATCTTGCTTCTCATCTCAATAGCTCTTTTTACTATATATCTTCTCTTCTTACAATACTTTCTACTCCATCCCTCTCTAATATTCATTTCACTTTTCATACTCACATCACCAAGCAATCTTACATATATTTATAC